GGAGCTGCACCTGCTGGAAACCGGGTCCAGCGTCCCTTTACATCATCAATAGTGAACAGATACCAGAATTGAAGCTGAAAAGTGGGCCCAACGACCCTTCAGATCTGGGAATGCTGGGGAATAGTTATGCCTCTTCACCATATTCGGGTGCCAGATATGCCATTACACCTGGCAATATTAACACTCCCCATCTGCTTATCGTGAGCTGGGACTGGGATCCACAGATAAAACCCAGACTGGGACACAGGTAATCACTCAAACGCATACCATGAGCCAGGAACTAAGGCCAGCTTTGGTGGAGGAAAAGGGGGCAATGGCCTGCCATTGTGTCTGTTTGCGATATCATGCCTCGCAATTCCCCTCGATGGTGGGTCATGCGAAGCACCGGTGGTGCATGGAAGGACCTGGAGGTTACCTATGACGCTGAAGATGACTACTATGTGACCCTCTTGCGTATGCATAGATCCATGTTCAAACGGCTTCTTCGTGTGCTTCGTCTGTATTTGGAGAAGCAAACAATGAGGTGGAGGGAGCCATTGCCGCCTGCGCAGGTGCTCGCTTATGCTTGGCACCGGTGGGCGCACGACGACTCTCATCTCCACAGCACATGGACTTATGAGATGGGGAAAACGAGCGGGCTATGAGTTGTGTGTGATGTGTCGAAAGCTATCATACAGTGTTTCCGTGAGGCGGTCGGTTTTGGCACTTACGAGGCGCGGCACCGGCGGATGGGGAAATTTGCGGCACTCGGTTTTCCGAATTGCTGGGGGTGCATCGATTGCACGCATGTCTTCGTTGAAAAGCCGAAGAAGAAGAGTGGTGACGATTTCATGGGCGGTCACAGACTACGGTTGTCTATCGTGGCGCAACTGGTGTTTGACACGGACCTGCGTATTCTTCATCTGTGTTACGGTTTTCCCGGCACGGTGGCTGATGGCCGTGTGCTGCGGAACTCATCTCTGTGGCGGAGGGCCGTGTCGGGTGAACTGTTCACTCCAGATCCTGAAGACCCGATGATGCACTTACGTCCAGAAATTCCAGGAGTCCCTGGGGGATACCTGCTAGCTGACATCGGGTACCCTACTTCGGCTTGGCTTGTGGTCTCGTTTGGCCACAACCATGTGGAACTGCGCACCAAGATTTTCGACAGTCAACACAAAGTTGTTCGTCCCCTTGTGGAGCGGGGTATCGGTCTCTTTAAGATGCAGTTCCAATATTTCTACAGGCCGCACGTTTGTGATTTGAAGATCGAGGGAGACGAGTTCCACGCTGCGTGCATAGTGCACAACTTGCTTCAGGACTGGGGTGATCTTCTTGAGGAATATGTTCAGCCGTCGGATTTTGGCAGCAGCACACAACCTCCACCCAGTCGCGCCATAGCAAGCGAGTTGCGAGCGGTCCGCCATCTTCGGACGCGGGAGCCCGGGGTGCAGGTGCGTGAGGCATTGTGCAGGCACGTCAATGCATGGGTTGCCCGACGTGAGTGTTAGATCATCGACACGATCAACATGTGGCGGGGCCCTGTTATCTCCTTGAACGTCACGGGTCGTTTTTCGACTCAATTGCGCAAGATATAGCGAAGGAGGGTGAATGCAGTGCTTCCAAGGGTTCGATAAGAGACGAACCGATTGGAGAAGTGCAAAGTATTGTCCGTGCTGCACAGAGTTTAAGTGATGCCCTTTTTGGTGCACATCAGGAGTTGCAAGTTCTGCGCAAATTCCTCGTGAAGCGCGGAGATGACATCACGATCATCATGAAGGACCGCGAGCAGGAGTGGCAAGCTGAGCACAACCATATTCATTACTGCGCAAGAAGATGGTGCAAGGCAATCGGTCGTCGTCTGCGGCAATCCCGTTTGAACGTTAACAATTGGTGCAACGACGTCGTCGACAAGCTTCTCGCTTGGAAAAAGGAATACGACAGTCAGAAATAGGCGATGGAAAAATTGGAGAACGGTAATCTGGAGTTTGAGGAACGACTCTTGAATGCACGTGCGGGCGGTGCGGCCTACGCACACAACCAAAAACCGGGAAACGACATGCCCACCGGGAAACGACACGCCCACCGGGGAATAAAAATAAAAGAAAAAATAAAACGACAAAACGACACACCCGTCGACACACCCACCAGGAAACAAAAAGAAAAGAAAAAACAAAAAGCGGGAAAAATAAAGAAAAAAAAAAGGAACGATACGCCGACCACGAAACAAAAAGAAAAGCAAAAACGAAAAGTGGGAAACGAGAGGCCAAAAACAAAAATGCTAAAAGAAAAAAAGGCCGCCCGCTTATGGACGACAGCGGCTTCAAGATATTCCCTCACATCTATGCTCGCCGCCGCCAACCCAGTGGGCGCGCTCGCCCGTTTAATGGCGCGCTGTGAACATTTCGATATGCGCGCTCCTCTGCACACTTCCCCGCCCTGGATCGCCTTCATTTGCCGACCCTCCTCAAAACTTCAACCCCAAATCCAGCGCGCAGCAAACCATCGATCTCTCCCCTGCGGCCAATGTTGCTTAAGGGGTAGGATAAAGGGTCAACGACTCCTGGGTCACACCTACCTAGTGTTTGGAATAAGGCAACTTCAGGAGTTCCAGAAAAGAAAAATAGATTCCACTCAGCGGCACGCTGGCATCGACACTCGGGGGCAGCGGAGCGTTACCGGGAGCGCTCCGCTGCCCGACGTTCTTACGCGACGGTAGACTCCTTGGTGAGGGAGGGAAACGAAGAACGGTCGAGGCACCATGATTGCAGTTTCGATGCGAGGACGAGAGTGCGGGGCGAGAGGACATCAGATGGATGATGAGGCGGGAGAGGGATCATAGGGCATGGAAGAGCAGGTTAGTGGTGTCCGGGGGTTGCTGAAGGCCCTTTTGTTTGTTGTTTCTGTCACGTGCTTGCGTGCTTGAGAAGAAGAACACGGGGGCGATGTCTGCGACGATGACACCCCTTCATCTCTTTGGGCTACCTGTGAGGGGCGGCTGACAAGCTCAACAGTTTAGTCTCGTGACGTGGTTTGGATTGTTGTGATGGTAATCCTAGTTGCAGTCATATTATCTTTTCATCGTTCGGTCCTTTGGGATTGTTGAATAGTTGTCAACCACAGGTGGCCGAGTTACTTGAGAGCCGATGAAGGAGGAGGTGAGGTTTGGAGAGAGGGGGGGTGCGTTTAGGGATTGTCGAGGGTAAGTTGTGTTCTTCCTCTTCACGCTTTGTAATGATGATTATGTGATGCCCCTGATGAGATTCTTAACGATGTGATTCTTAGATAGTTTGTCTGGTTCAATAACTATTAGTCTTTCGGACCTTGAATTCTAGATATGTAACGAAAATATAACTAATAACTTTGATTCTGCGGTTTGAAAATCAAGATTAAATCAAGAATAATTCTGACCTATTTTGTTTGACCTAGTTATTTGTCTATTTCTTTTCGAATTTCACATCATTAGTCATGTCGATCGTCGTATGTTTTATTGCTGAATTACTTCCTAGGAAATACTCTTAGTCTGAGATTCGTAAAGCGGAGGTTGGACACCTCTGATTTCTTAAAAGTAATTTTCCAATCTTAACTCAATCTCCTTTAATCTTCTGATTTGTGTCGATGCTTAAATTTATGAGGTAGGTAATTTTGATTTCAAAATTCTAGTCATTCTGACGTCTTAATAGTCATTCCTATGCATGGTTTTGACTTTTTATCGTATCTTTTTTGGTGTTTCCTATTCTATGTACTAGTAGTTTCAAAAGTGTTCCATATGTTGCTGAAAATTGTTCCTATCTGGTTTTGGCTATTGAATCTGAATGGAATTATCTCCTTTAGGGTTGGAGCCCCTCCCTGCGAGGGTTACACAGGGTGGGTGGTGTGATCTTTAAGAGGCAGGGACGGTGTTGAGGGATTGTCATTTTCTGGGCCACGCTGATTTTTGGGTCGGATCGGCTATGGCAGTTAGGGAGAGAGGACAAGGGGTGCTAATGCCATCATGGTGAGATGTTGAAGGGTTGTTTCACTTGGAGGGGGTGGGGCAGGAGGGAAGGGGGATCTTCGACTCTGCGGGGCGTATTTTAGGGGGTACTGTATGCAACTGAGGGAGCAAGAGTGGTATTTAGGGGACTGTTCTGAACTGGGGCGGGGAGGTGAGGGGGCGCTGCCCCGCAGAGGCAGTGATCAGGCAGGGGGTCGTTTTTTGGGGGGAGAGGAGTAATCTGTTTTGGTTCTTGTGAGCCTTGTACATGCAATCGAGATTTGAATAGGCGTTGGAGTTTCCATGGGGAGTGAGGGTGTTTTTTTCCTTCCCTTCCCCTCTTCTTGTGGGAATAGTACGTGCTGAAACGTGTATATGGTTTTCTCAATCTTCTAATTTCCTGATTTTTCAATATGTTCTTGAATGGGATTGAATTTTCTGATTAAAAAATTATTTATAAGCCGACACTGGTGGCAGGGGTCTGTGGTTGCGACGGTGGGGTATAATGCGCTCTGTGGCCATTCGGTTAGCCTGCAGAGTGGAAATAGGGTACAACAACGGTGAAGATGGTTGCTTGATTGCAGTAAAACTTGCCGGAGTAGGGTTGTGAGGGATTTTATGTGGGATATCGGCAACCAATGCCTGAAGGAGCTGAATGATCGGAACTACAGTTATGGTGCTGATTGGTGGCTTGTGTGGTATTTGCTGTAGTCCTGGGTCCCCGTGGGTTTGCGAATGGACGAGGCCAGAACGACGCTGGTTGATGCTGGGGCTTGGTCGCACTGTCCTGTAACTCGAGCTGTACGAGGGCAAGAGACCTGATAGAGAGATCTGGGAAGTTGTCGAGGGTGGAAGGCACTCTAGTGTCCTTTGGTAAGCTGGTACTTAGTCGACGTTGGTCGGAGCCGGGGCGGGTTGTTTTGTCCTGTAGCCTAGCAGGTGGGAGTCTTCTGGGGTGGGTCGTGTCACTCTGTAACCTAGCAGTTTGGGGTGTGAGGCCTAGTAGAGACTAAGTATCGGGATATAGGGATGAGGCAGGTAGGGGTGGGCTACTGAAAGGCTCTAAGACAGGTATTTCTGGATCTGAATGTTCTTCCAAAAAACAAAAGAGCCCTTTGCATTTAGTACTATACAGATGACATTGTCTGTTTTCTTCTATTAACCCCTTCGACGCTGTTTTCATTAGTACTTGGTGCAAGTTGTTCTCAGATTTTTCTCAAAAATCTACCTATCATCAAAGGGCGTCCCTGCTCAGTTAATCCCCTGGTTCCGGGGCAATCAATGCTGGCAACGGGAGGTCTTCTTAATTTTTTTTTCCCCCTCATTTTTTCTCAAAAAAAGACCCTTGAGAATGAATGGCTTAGGATACTGGGTACTCCTTGTAACTACTTTAGGAATCTTTGATGCTGTTATATTCATGGACCTGCGGTTTTTCGATGCCAGAACGACGCTGGCCGGTGCTGGGGGGTTGCCCTGTAACCTGTTGATAGCAGGAGCGTGAGTCCTGGTAGAGAGATCTGGGGATGCCTTGGGCCGGGCATTCGAAAGGAAAACCAAGGGTTGCTGTCGGGACGACACTGGTCGGAGCTGGGGTGAGTCGTGTTGCCCTGTAACTTAGCAGGGTGGGGGCATGAGGCCTGGGAGAGCTCGGCAGGGAATTAGACAATGTTAGAGAATTTTAGAGTGTTTTGTCGGGGAGTCCAGGGGTTCTGAGCATTCGAAGGACTTTTCTGGTAATTGCTGCTTGAGTAGCCTAGCAATAGGTCAACAGTTATCCACGTGTTTCCTAAATCTTCCTGAACTTTTTTCATAGTTTTCAGATTGTTTTTAGCCGAAGCCAGGTAATGGCCCTGGTATGTCAAATCATTTGTATATTCTACATGGGACGCTGGGCCCGGTTCCCAGTATGTGTTGCTCCCCACGAATAGATTGGAGCAAAAAAAAAAAAAAAAAAAAACAGCGCAAAAAAAAAACAGCGGCTAAATCTGCATTCATGCCACTTCAAAAAGACAGGGTCACAGTTTCATCAACCCCCCGCTAAACTTGCATATGATTCTGACATGATTCTGAAACTCGAACAATGACATCAGTGCCACGTTTGTCTTTTCTTTTGCCTATTTCAAACTGAAAAGGTGACAGACTCAGGAGCAGTTTCCCCTATATAATAAAACATACAATAATAATCAATCCGAGGAAACCATGCACTGATGTGTTTTTTTTTTCTCCCCCCCCTTCTTTCTCTTTCTGAACACAAAATCCATCATTAGATGCTGGGAATGGCTGCGCGCAGCGTCCCTTACATCATGAACTCCTGTGTATGGGATGATGAGCAAGGCACACGGTCCAGTGTAGCAGAGCCCTGACCGCAGTCTTCTCAGACTGTATCCAATATGAAAAAAAGGGAAGGGACTTCCCTAGTACCAGCTAATTCTTACTTCAGTAACTGCATATAGATCTAACCTCAGATGCCTGCCTATCTATGAGAGTAGTGTGGCTACAAGCGAGTGCATGCATGCAACTGCAC